GGCTGTGGCATCCCCCTCCCCAAGCTTGTGCTATTGCCTTTTCCAAGCCTGTGGTGTCCCCAAACCCGTGGTACCCCACTTCCTGGGCCTGTGGTGTCCTCCCCTCTGTCCCCTTCCCCGCTTCCGTGGTGTCCCCATCCCTGAGCCTGTGGCATCACCCTTTCCAAACCCAACTGCCCACAGTGTCCCTGTCCCCGAGACTGTGGCTGTCCCTTTCTCCAGGTCCCTGGCATCAACCCCTCTAAGCCCCTCCGTCTGTGATGGCCCTGGCTCCAAATCCCTTTGCCCCTGGTGTCCCCATCCCCGACGCCATTGTGTCCCTCTCCCTGCACCCCTCCAGCCATAGTGTCCCCAGGGCATCCCCCTCTCCCAGACCCACCACCCTGGGGCCTTGTTGCCATGTGACCATGGAGTGACAGTGCCTGCTCCCCGCAGGTGCCCCCATCAGTGCCGTCGGGCAGCCCTGGGCTCAGCCCCGGTGGCCCCCCCCTGGATGCTCTCTCCCCCTTCTTCAAGAAAAAAGCCCAGATCCTGGAGGTGCTGCGCAAGCTGGAGGAGACGGACCCGCTGCTGGGACCCCTCCCGGCCTCCCCGGGCTCCCCGGAGCCCTGCACCGCCCCGGGCTGGCCCCCCTGCCCGCTGCGGGGGTCAGGGGCTGCCGGGGGGTGCCGGGGGGCCGAGGGCAGCCCCTGCTCCTCGCCAGAGGAGGCCGCGGCGCCGCGGGGGGCCCTGCTCAGCGCCTTGGCCGAGCGGCTGCTGCGAGGTGAGGGGGGGTGCTGCCGGCGCAACGGCGAAGCCCCCGGCGGGCCCCCCCGGCAGCGGCACGGCGAGCACCCTGCTTTCCTGGGGCTCTACCCCCTGGGCGAGGAGAGCCTCGAGGGGGGATTCGCTCCGGTCTCACCCGGGGGGGGCACCAACCCCCTGCCCTCGCCCCCCAAGGTGCTCAAGCTGCCCCCCCCCCCAGGGGGGCTGCACCTCAGCCCCCAGCTCACCCGTGCCTCCAAGATCCCCTGCCGCGGCGGCAACCCTGAGGCCTCGCCGGCGCTCAGCCGCCACTCCTCTCCTGACGCCCCCCCAGAGCCTGGCTCCCCTGAGCCCCCCGCCTTCCCCACACCGTGCACCTTCGAGGCGGCCGAGCAGCCCCCTGGGCCACTGGGACCCCCCAGCAGTGGCGAGCGGGTGGCCACCTCCCCCCCCAGCACCCGCCGCGGCGCAGGCGGCTCAGCCCCCTCCCGCCGCCCCGGCAAGAAGCCCCCTGAGCCGGGCTACCTGCCCTTCAAGGAGCGCCTGGCTGCCCTGGGCAAGCTGCGGGGGGCTGAGAGCCGTGAGCCCCCCGGCCCAGGGCGGCCCGAGCGAGGTCACGGGGCTGAGCCGCGGCCCCCTCCCCGGGGGTGTTTGGGGGGCAGCCTGAAGCACCCTGAGCCGGCACATGGCGGGGAGCCCCTGGCCCGGTGCTACTCCTCCGGCTCCATGGGAGAGCCCGGCAAGGCGGGGGGCAAGGGACGCCCCGCCAGTGGCAGGACCCCCCCACGGGCTCCCTTGGGCCCCCCCGCCAAGGCCGCCCGCAGCCCCCACGGCAGCCCCACCAAGCTGCCCACCAAGGCTGGTGCTGGCAAAGCTGGGACACCGCGGGGCGAGGAGTTGGCTGGCGCCAAGGCAGCAGGGGTCCCCCGCAAAGCCCCACCGGCCACCGAGCCCCCTGGCACGGGGCCGCCGCCGGGGGCTGCCGGGCACTCGGCCATCGAGGAGAAGGTGATGAAGGGCATCGAGGAGAACGTGCTGCGGCTGCAGGGGCAAGAGCGGGCGCCGGCCGGTGAAGCCAAGGGGAAGGCGGCTGGCGGCTTGGCCAGCTGGTTCGGGCTGCGCCGCAGCAAGTTGCCGGCTCTGAGCCGTCGCGGTGACGGAGGCCGTGGCCGGGAGTGGGCCGGGACGCCGGCTCCCCTGCGGCGGGAGGTCAAGTTGGCTGCCCGCAAGCTGGAAGCCGAGAGCCTCAACATCTCGAAGCTGATGGAGAAGGCGGAGGACCTGCGGAAGGCGCTGCGGGAGGAACACGCCTTCCTGCAGGGACTGGCGCTGGAGAAGGGGCGTCCCCGCGGGACCCCCCGCGGCCCCGGCCACCTCCCGGTGATGTATCAGGAGGTGACGGCTGAGACCTTCATGCAGCAGCTGCTCGACAGGTCAGTGGTGGCCGTGGGGGGACATCGGGAGGTGGTGAGTGCCCTCCCCCAGCCCGCCCTGACGTGTCCTTGTCCCCAGGGTGGACGGGAAGGACGTGCCCTACGAGAGCCGCCTGGAGCACAAACGGGAGCTGTGTGACCTCCGGCGGCCCTCCCCTGACGCCAAAGACCCCCGGCTCTGCTGCCCACCCCGCAACGGCATCGTGGGACACCTGCGGGAGCCCCCCGACAAGGTGAGGACTCCCTCCCTCCTTCACTGCCGTGTGCCTTCTCCAGGGCAGGGGGACACCCCATGGCCATTCCTCCTTCCCCCCCTCAACAGGTGCCCGACGTTGGGCTCCGGGACGAGCTGCCGTTGGACGAGAGCTTGTCTGAGACCGGGACGTCGCAGCACTTTGCCAGTGAGGGGGTGCCCGGGGGAAGGGGTGGAGCAAATATAGGGGGGGAGGCACCAGTGTGGCTCCTGGTGCTGACACCCCCGCCTTGTGCCCGCAGCCTGCGGGTCACTGACGCGGACGCTGGACAGCGGGATCGGGACCTTCCCGCCCCCCGACTACGGAGGGGTGCCAGCCAAGAGCACCCCCAAACCCCGGGGCCGCCCTGAGCTGCTGCCCGGCGCCATGCTGGCACGGCCACCCGCCATCACCAAAGTGCCGCGCAAGGCCCGGACGCTGGAACGAGAGGTGCCCAGCGCCGAGGAGCTGCTGGTGGCCACCAAACACCGCAGCGCCCCGGCATGTCGCCCGTTGGCCCCCCCCGGCCCCCGTGCCAGTCCCCAAGGTGGGTGTCTCACCCTGCTGCATGCCAGGGCCCCGCACCTTTGCGAGGTGCACCGGGGGTTGGCAGCTGGTGGAGGATCGTGGGGGGCCCAGGAGGTAGCACCCACCTCTCTCCCCCCAAAAGTTTTCCCTGCAGACGCGGGGGATGATGCCGGGAAACCACGGCGCGTCCAACAGAGCAAGAATTGGACCTTCCCCAATGCCAAAGCCTGCGGTGCCACCGACCCCTTCCTCTGCCCCCCCGCGGGGCTGGAGGGGCTGCATCGTCCAGCACTGGTAAGGTGGGGGACGAGGGACGGGGGGGGGGGGGGGTGGGGAACATAAATGGCACTGAT